TAATACTCACTAGATATTCAATGGACAATACCTTTTATGTCATTCTTAGTAAGAGCTCTTGTGTTGTGAGCTAGTAATTACAATTTGAGACGTGGAAGAAGGAAAACATGGGGGGGAACTGAGAACCAGCACTGTGCTTTCTGCAAGGTAAACAGCAAGGTTTCTTGCTGCTTTATGATTAGTGGGRGCACACACTTTAAACAGTTTGAGCCTCTTCAAAAGACTTATTTGGAGTGGGAAAACCATTTTTGTCTGTGATRGATCCAAACAGATAAATGAGCAATAATCCCAGTATTATCATCCCATTCTGATGTTTCCCATCACAAACTTTGGGGAAACATTCTGTGAAGATCCTTGGCCAGTGCTCATACACTTAGCAGATGAGTATCCATACAACGATGAAGTAAACCAGATCCAGGACTCAAATTACTATGCAAAACTGGGATATCAGCACATCTCCTCGTTCATGTAAAGAAAGGTTAATTCTGTAGAAGATGCAAGAAATATTTAAATACTCCCCCAGTCTTCTGTATTGATATACATAACCAGTTTAGTGAAGTCTAAATATTTTCTGCCACATTCCTGTTTTTATGGACTATCCACAACAGTACTTATGACTACCTTTCTTTCATTGGTGTTTGTTTTGTTTTTTTTTTCTTTTTTTTTTATACAGGACTACAAACTGGCACTTGCTGACAAATTGCTAATTATTTTTGCCACACATTGATAAATATGAAAATGCTTTGAAAGAGCAAGGCCAGCATCTCTTGGATGCACACAAAGACTCCATGAGTTTCATCAATTACTCTTACCAGCAAAAAGAATAGATTCTGCAATACAGCATTATGTAGATATATGACACCACAAAGTTGGCAAACCAAATGATTTCTGAGGAAGTGTCAGAATGGTCTGATTTTAAYTGTAATCATATCAAAGCTGCATATTTTTGATGGCAGGGAGTACAGCTTTGCTGTGAAATATAGCTCACTGATCATGAAATCTGCTTCCTTTGTTCCTAAGACTTCCAAAAAATGACTGTGAGGAAAATTTAAAATCTCTTGAATTCCTAAGTCATCTGGGGCAACCGACATCTAAAAAGACACAGTGTTCACCATTTCCCTTCTGGCTACTTCACTCTCCCTCATAGTTTTTATAATTTTCTACTCTTGGATCTGTATCACTGGACTCTGCTCTCTCAAAGACCAAAGACAATCTGAGAAGAATGTATTTCAGCTATTCATAAAAGCTATCCTATCATCATTCAGGGGAAAATGTCTGTAGTCTTAAATGTAACCTTTATGCATGTCTGCTTTCATTTAAAAAGCACCTACAGAAGAATTATGAGTGTTCTTTGAGGAGCACAAAGTGTTTCTCTGTGTGAAACAGTGGTTAATRGAATTAAATCCCCTTCCCATCTTGCTCCAGATCTGCTTTACATCTAAATTTACAATTTACAACCTGCCCTACCAAAATATTTCTAACAAGATGTCTTAAAACTAACTACCACAGGAGGCAACTACTTAAGTTTATTCTGCGCACTGGAATATCTGCTTCATGCCACAAATATAGGAATGAAACATTCCAGYAATATCTTTCGTGTGCATATACTTTCATGAATTAAGCATCTGCTACAAAATAAATTTCTGGTCTTGAGATGRGATGCATGCATGCATATGCCTACATGACAAGTATATAGGATAGCACATAAAAAACCTAACAAAAAACAGTTAAATTCCTTTTTGCTGTTGATTTGCAAATCCTAGCAAACCAGGTATTTTTTTTAGAAATCTGTTAATGAGTGGTCTTCTAATTCACTGAGTCTTCTATCATAACCACTCTTYACCACATCATGTATTTCCTTTGTAATGGCAGAATGCCGAAATCAAAAAGAACATATCTCATGGTACTATAAACCATAGGATGATACTGTTGACATAATTCAATAGGCACATCATGCACACTTTCCCTAATCTGTAATAGTCATAAAATGCTCTTTAGTCTTGAGACAATCTCCATGTCATTCATCAAAACCAGAGTTGCCTGGTATGCTCACTATGTACATGAAATCATCTGGCTTGGAAGACCTCTCCTTTAGGCATATACTATTACAGTGGATGAGGAACAATGCTGAAATCTGACAATTCATGTTTGCTAGTTCGAAAAGCTTCATGCTTACAGGATGAATAATTGTGATGAGAATAGTAGCCTACAGAAAGCAGAAACAATGACACCTTCTCAGGAATGTGCTGCAATTTCTACATTTACTGTCTTTATCAGTTCSGGAAGTATTTTAAAACCAGCAGGTACTGAAAATAAAGTGACATTGCTTTAACTGGTGTAGAGGAATGACAGAAATGCAGATGGTAGTATATCCATTTATGTATTCTCTGAAAGCTTCTTTCCTGAAGCAGAAGATTATGTGATAGAGGACACTTACCTTCTAGAAGATATACTATAYCTACTACTTTCACAGGGGAAAAACCTGTAATGGTATCTAGGTAAAACTACTTGTTGAGTGTTCTCATTTTATGTTCTCACTTAAGCACCTATGACAAAAATCTAGGGAAGGTAAGTTTCATGAGACTTCATTTCAGACTGTTAGAGATACTGTGGAACTGTAGTGGTGATTGCTTCCACGTAATTCTTCCCAGCCTTGGTACGGTGCGTGAGACTAGTCAGGGTACATGTTACTACTTGTGTCGTGAGTACTCCTTATTCATATGCTTACAATGGTGTTCTACCTAAGATGTAATTAAATGAATTAACAAAATCAATACATTGGTTTTCTTCATAACTTTTTTTGAGCTGTGAAAGCGGTTAATCTACCACCTTTTCTAGAATACATGCAAATGTTGTTTAAGAGACTTATTTATTTGTCACAGTAATTATTGCTCTGTCTGATAAAGTACCTCTTCTGCCATTTAAGAAAGCAGTTCACTTTTTAAGGGCTATCAGAAAACATGAAAACTACATCTTCCATAAATATAATTCAGCAATCCATCAAGTTAAATCAGATTTTTAATGTGGAGATATTATTTTTGCATATTTCATCAAATTTAGTCCCTAATATTTCATGTTTAAATAGGGGAAGGATAGTTGTGAGGCAAAATAACCAAATTAAGATGTACAGAACAAGATTCTTTTCTCTCTGGAAGTAATATTCCAGTAAGAAGATTTGCCTTCTATTTTCTCCTCTCTCCTTTTCCTATTCAAATCAGCTAGGAGAACCTTTCAGATGTTAAAACTACCCCTGATATTAACTGCAAAGACAGTCAATCTCCCTGTTTACCAGCTGCTATTCAGAATACATATGTAAAAATARTACTTTCCTGTATCCAATATATATTTGTCCACTATATACACTGCTAGTGTGTSTTGGCATCTTCCAGTAGTGCCTTGTTTCATATAAATAACATGCACTGCAGCTTGAGAAATTCAATCATTTAAGGTGTGGGAGGTGACCTGACTCCATCACAACCTCAAAAACCCGTTACGTGGACAAGACCAGAAACAACTAAAGGAAGGGATTTTTTCCCAATACTTTAAATAGCTCTGGCTTTGAACAGAGCTAAAATCCTTCCTCCTCATTTACATCCTGGCAGAACTGAGAACAACCACTTAAACACCAGCTAAATAAGAAAAAGYTGAAAATTCAGGAACAGGTGCCCTAAGCAGGTATCTACTGATCTTGCAGTAAGTCCTAAAAGTAAAATTATTTCTTATTTCCCAGCATTCCATTTTTCTTTGTTCACTGAACACAGTTTAGTCCGATGAAGCCAGAAATATCTGCTTCCTTCATCTTCAGCATTAACAAAATGTCATTGGTATTGGATTTCTTATATTAAAGGAAAAAGATTGTGGTTTAGGATTTTTGTCTTTTTTTTTTTTTTTGATACGGTTCTGGAGCAGTTCTCTGAGCATCATAAAAAAAACCACTAATAAATTTTGAAAACCTTCTTTCTTTCTTTTATTCCAACATCCAAGTCTGAACATTAGATCTATCCTAATAAAGCATGCTCCCCTTGATAAAATTCAGGATAGAGGAGTCCACGAATCTTAGATAACAAAAACAAATTTTGACCGTGATTGTGTGATCATGTTGACTTATACAGATATATGCAGTCACTGTATTTGCTTGCAGTGGGTTTGATACTAATTGAAGAGGAATAAATTCTCACCATTTACACACTGTGAAGCCATGTATACATCAAATATTATACTGTCAGTTCTCTTCACAAGGTTTCAAAACTACTCTAATTCTCTTTGCACAGCTGAAAATAAGTATGTGAAACAGCACAAGTTAAGCAAGCACAATGAGCAAACAACATGTAAGATTGATGTATAACAATCAAATAAAGAATCAATTACACAAACTATGCTATCAGATCCAGGCCAAATCCCCCCCAGTACCCATCTTTCACTCCACTGAAAAACAAAACTGACACAAATTGCTTAAGTACTTTTCATGAGTGGACTTGGCTAAAGTGAATTTTGCTATAATGCACATTAATTGCAAAGTGAACTTAAGTATTTATTGTTATCACTACTCAAAATCAAAGAGTTTATAACGATTTTGAGTACCAAAGACTTCATACTATCCCCCTCTTAAGACAGACAATATTGAAAAACATGGATGTACTTTTGATCTCAAAAGCAGGACATTACATATATTTTTTACTACAGAAATACAACTTAGTGTTCATCATAGTCCTGCATATCTCTTCAGGCAGCAAAATAAAAATATGTTGAATTACACAGGTTTCTGGCATGAAACGAATCCTGCTGAAGTCAGCTTAGCCTGAAGCTAATCTGTACTTGTAAAAATAACCAAAATTCTATTTCAGATGCATAAATATGGATCTAATAATTTTACTTTAGACGCTTGCCTCTCTTCCCACGACACACTTCAGAGCAAGAAATACCATGGCTTTTCAATGTAACAGTTCTATAATTTTCAAAAAAAAAAAGAAATTCAGTGTTGAAACGCAGTAATACTGTACCTTGATTTCTTCTATTTCGTCTGGTACTATCTTGTATGCAGATATAGTCCCACCCAACCTGAAATCAGGAGAAGAAAAATGTTCTCAAAATTGGTAACAGGAAATACAGTACGTTAATAGTGTCAGACTTGTTTTAAACAACATACTCTTTCTACCAGTTTAGAGGTAAAACCCAGTATGCCCCAAATCAAAAGCAAAACCCCCCTTTCTTTATTCAATAAAAAATCCTTATGTGATTAACATAAATACTAGAAGCAAAGGTGTCCATCATCTTAACAATTAAGTCAACCAAGCAGAATTACCATCACCAGGATAGTATTTTTTATATTAATGRCCATCATCAATCATCATATTCTATGATTTCTTGTTGATTGTCTAAAGCACATGGATGAGCTTAAAGCCTGATGTGCTTTGCACTGAGTATTTCACTAAGCTGCTATATGGTCTGAAATGCATCCCAATAAAATTCKAAAAATTTAAATTTTTAATTAAATGTGCCTGTACAGACCTCACTAATCACGCAGACTCTATGGTCTCCATGTTTAAAAAGTCTCTGCAGTTAATGATAGGTAATAAAAAGTGGGTGATGAGCAATAGCTGGTACTGACACAGAAAAATAGATGGTTTTGTTACACATGGAATTCRCTGAAAGTACTTTTTAAAATCCTGCAAAAAACCCTGATAAAGAATAGTTCACATATTGAAGATGCATGCATAGTATGTACTATAAATGTTGGTAAATATTACATTTTCCCCAGAGACATGCAGACACGGCTTCTTTTATTTCATGAAGATTTATCATTGATAGTGACAATTCAGACCTAAAAATATAAGTGCACTAATGACCTTCTGCTGGCTCTGCATAGCAATACTATAAGTTCTCTGGATCCTACAAAAACAGAAGTCACATAAGAAACTATATTTTGTAAATCAGTAGACCAAACCAAATGTGTATTTGAATTATCTCCTTATTATTGGAATTTTTCTTTCCAAATGTCAGCGTTTCCACACAGATGTATTTTCTTGTATCTTGAAATTATTATAAATATTGTTTACTCAAGTGAAAAAGGGAAGAAGAGAGTAACAAAGAGAAAACATTAAGATTTTCCATGTAAGTTTTGCCTTTCCATATCTCTATGAGCAAACCACTCTTGCAAATGAATTGTTTGAAGGCTTTACATAAAGGATGAAGTCTGCATAGGAGAAGTCATGTCTCAAGTCCATCACTGCTCCAGGTAGCTACACTATCTATACTGTCTTCATTTCAGAACATTAGATTTCACTCTCTCTTTCAGCTTTTGAAAGAGATCCACTATAGCAGATTATAGTACCAGATTTAACTGGTGAAGGACATAATAAAGACATCTCACATTGTGTATACAATTTGGCTGTGAGTTTCACGGAAGTTTAAAGGTATCTCACACACTGGGAGGATGCAACTAACACAGCCTGAAATCTTCTACTGGTCATAAGTACGACATATAAGAAACAAAGTTTTTGTTATCACGATGTAATAATGCATACGTAAGGTAAAAAAAAATTTAAGCTGCCAGTTTGGCAGGCTGTGAGTAGTGAAGAGTAACATACAGACATTCTACTTAAAAATATTCTACTTTTGATGCCAGAACATCCTTCTTAGTTTCAATGTCATACAAAAACTATTACGCTATACCATTCACTTGTCAAAGAAACTAAGGAGGCAGAACCAGTTGTGAAACATGTTGCATACTCTTCGCTCAAAAAACATAAATATTAGTTTATTCCAACTTCAACATAAATGCTCTGAAAAATTTGAAAATTAATCATTTGGTGCTACAACATCACTCTTACAATCCTCCAACAGCCAGGTAAGTCCAAAGTGCAAGGGACTAGCCAATGTCACACACRCACATAGGTTACAGAGAAAAAAAAACACATTGTGATGAATAGTAAGAAAAAACAGCAATATCAAAACAAATTGAAAATTAATGCATTAATTGATATGTCTTACTTGAAGAAAATTTTGTATTTCAAGTGTTTCTCTCAATTAAATTTATCAATTGTGACCTATCTGGAAGCTTGCCTGTCACTATGCAAATCTTTGATTTGATTACTGACATTGGGAAGAACAAAGACCACACAACTACACAGGAGATTCCCGCTACAGGATGATACACAGACTATGACAGAGGGCTTGCACATGGCATATTTTTCCCTTTGTTGTGGAAAAGCTCTCTCTGCAGGTTGGTTTTTAAAATATATTTTAAAAAATAGTTATATTACAGTATCATTTGTAATTACAATGTTTCAAGAAGTAAGTGCAATCAGAAAAGCAAAGAACCAGCTAGCATGAGTGAGCAAGCATTAACTACAATGGGCTTTGTATGTTAAAATATAATACAGCAAAGATGTTAGAATGGCCAGAATTCAGATCACTAGGAACTCAATTCTTGTGCAGATTACCTCTTCATCTTTCACATTTTTCAGTTTTTTTTACAGATTTTATTGTACTTCTCTCCACTTGAACAATACAACATCCAGCATCCTCCAACATAAATGGCATTTTTTCTCTGATAATACACAACCAACCAAGAGCAAAGTTAAATATAGATCCAGCTACTTCCAGTASACTGAAAAGACGGTCACAAACTTCATCTAGGGAGATCTAATGTCCAAAGTCTTTCCCTCTCAAACTGCACTACAGCAAGTTACRCTATTTAATAGTTAAATTATTTCAAATACTAGTTACTTTTCATGTTTCACTTGAATATACAACAGACAATCTCAAAGGTACCAGAATTTATATTCAAATTTTGATAGMCATCAAAATGTCTTACCAGCTCAGCATCATACCTTGCATGTAATACAGACAGTCCAATTCTCTAATCTCTTTGCAGAAGAGAATGAAATTATTCCCAGATGTAGAAATTAGAGCTGACACAATAATAATGAAGAACCATACCTTATATTGGGCTAAACCAGTGAAGATCTTTGAGGAAAGGATCAGAAATGATAGAAATTCTATAAAAATGATCAGGAAATAATAAATATAATTATTTTTATGGAATTTTAAAAAATAAAAGAAATTTAGTATCTTTTTTATCTTTTCAGACTGGGTTCACGAAAGTTCTCAAAAAGGATTCAGGAGGATGTGGTAAACAAGGTTTCTATAGCAACCTAAGAAATTAGCAAAATACAGGAAATAAACTGAACTAAGGCCAGCACAGTTGTATTGGAACAGATGGATGCTTTACTATTTCACAAGTTAAAGCCGAACATCACAGAAGATAGAAGACTACATCCAAGGTAAGGAAAGTTGAAAACCAGGAAGAACTGTGCTCAAATGGATGCAAGAAACAAGGAGCCAGAACTCAAATGAAAAGTAAAGTCAAGACAAAACTAAAAGAGAAATAAATTACAACTCCCTTGTATTATTTTAATATGCTGACCTATTTGCTATTTATGTTACTTCCCAAAYATTGCAAGTTGATCTTGAGGCTGATTTTCCCCTGTGCCCCTCTATATATGCATATTTGCATGGACTCACTGGATTATTACTGCAGAGCTATATTTTGTGCAAGACACTTGTGCATTTGGACCGAATCCATACAGGTCAGCTTTTATAATTTGAATTCTGACCAGAGACATGAACACAGTCTTTATATACAGTTCCACATTCAGGAACTGCCATAAGAAGCTGAGCTATTGATTCATCCATTCTTAATAAATGAGTCATACCGAATGCAATGAAGTGAATTTTCTAAAAATAGCTTGTAGCCAGCCTGGCTGCTGTCATTTGCTGAATTTCTCCAATGCCACTTTAATTAGCATTAATCTTTCTTCAGATAGTTCACTGTCTCAACAATATCAAGTTGTCACTAAAACACCCAGTGAAACTCTCCTTCATTTTTAATGACAGCAAAACTCAAAATCCTCCACTCGGCGTTTTTTTCCCCTGAAATCTCACAAATGTATTTGTTACCTGCCAMCAAGATATTCTGTCTTTTGACAGATTTATAAATCAAGCAGATTATTCAAGAGARACTTTTCTTGGGAGCAGGTCAAATGACTGGGAGCCAGACTGGCTATTTCTAATTCTATGACCAATTCATTTTATCAYAGGCTACTGAATGAATACTTGCCACAATACTCCTGTCAGAGCAAATTGACCAAGTCAGCACTTTTAGCCTGCTCAGCTGGACTACCTTCATATTGACCCCCATGATATCAACAAATCAATTGGCCTTGGATCCTCACATCCTTAGAARGTATTCCAAGGAAAGAGATAGAAGGATTGCATTTGAAAGCAGCTTTGTTCTCCACTATCATTAAAAGCAGACACAGAGATCTTTTAATTGATAATTAGTTTCTACTGATCTTTGAGAAATTGTTAAAGCACCCTCAGGGAGGCAGTAAGAAGGCTGCTATTCTGGGCTCCCTTCCTACAGGACAGAACACTGGCAGCTACAGCAAGCTGGGCTGCAGCTCCTATTGCTGGCTGCTTGCCAGCAATGAACTGTGCAAAACAGCTTTCAAAGAGGATCCTGATGACAGCTTTACTCACTCGGAGGTGTAAAATTACGTGATGAAGATCCACACATGGTTTTTTGTTTCTTTTTGGGATTTGTTTTTATTGTTATTATTATTCATCAGCATAATCATTGTTATTTTAATGGATACAATAATTAGATCCTTGAAAACTTACTTCCCTCCTCTGCCAGTCTTAGGCTAACTTCAACGTGCTATACTCAAAAACTTCACAGAAATCAAATTACTGCAGGCGTGCCCTCTGTCAGTTTATGTCTCTCATGAACAACAGCTCTGAGATTAAGACATTAAATTTACAGGGTTCTTTCTCTGCCTCACCATGTCCCAAAGAGTCTTTGCACACACAAATAAAGAAGGAGGAGGGAATTAACCAAAAAAATTTTATTCCCTACATTATCACTGTTTTAAAGTATACCCCGTTTAGGTATACCCCATTTTTCGCTGCTTTCAGGTTGTTTGTTTTTCTGCCAAGAAAAGCAGCAAACTACATGAAAACATTACTTTTAAGGAGGAAAGCCATGTTATTCTTCT